GGGGGCACAATCAAACACATGAGATTCATCATTAAGGGAACGAAGCACATCACAAGAAGGCATGGTAAATAATGAAGAATATTGAAACACACCATTAGCATCAACTTGAGCATGTACCTCATCATCATGAACAAAAGAGGAAATAGAGTTGAAATCATGTGTTTTAGGTTCACTTAATGGATCATGTAACAAATCATGGGAATTCATGCTAATATTAGAAGTATCAACACATTGCATATCAATAATAGAATCATGATTACCCTTATTATAGACATCCCAAGCAAACCAAACATAAAAATCCCAAGCATCATCAATTGATAATGCTCTAAATTCACCAATATGCATACATTCAACTTCATCCCTAGTTTGCTCATTCAAACCAAAATAACAAATCTCACAAGCCTCCCAAAGACTACAACAATCAAAATCCAAATATCCCAAAAGTCTATTGAAATATTCACAAAAAGGCTCATTGTCATATTGAGGAAACGAGTTACTTGCCATTTTTTTTTACAAAAACAAGCAAAAATTAAAAAAATAAAATAAAAAGAAAAGTATACACAAAGACCTAGACTCAAGCAATCAAAAACAATCAAGCATTGACACCGTTCCCCGGCAACGGCGCCATTTTGAGCGCGGGGAAATTATGTCGTTGACTAACCTCCTCACGGCCAAACAAAATTTATTATAATCCTAAACTAACCCCTAAACAAGTCTAGTGGTAAGTTCGGAGTTGAACCACAAGGAACGGTAATGTTGGATTGTTCTCGATCTAATGCTTAAGCTACGCCGAAGTCGGTTTATGGATAGTGGACACTACAACTACACTAACACACGTATAAAGATCAAGATATTACAAAGTCTACTAGGGGCAAAGATCCACTTTGAACAATTAACAAGTTAATGGGAATCGATTTGATAATCAATCATGCAAAGAAAGAATTAAAATGGGAATTAATTACCATCAAGAGCAATCTCTCAAATTCCTAGCCTAGATCCCTCATTGACTAGGTGCATAGAAGAAATTTACCCAAAATGCAATCAAATACATAAATTCTAATTCACAATCCCTTGTCAAACTAGAACTAACATGCAATTAAGTTTGCTATCTTGGGAGATCAATCCAATCTAAAACAAACAACATGCCATCATCAATTCAATCAATTTAATCACACAATTATCATCAAATTTATCTCAAATAACTCAATTAACCATAACAAAGCTTCACTCAACACCTAGTAGAAGGAAATCTACTCAAACATGATTAACAAAGCAATTAATAAAGCATAAAGAGTGAAGAGAGTAAGAAATGCTCATTGATATAAAATGGAGATCTTCAAATCATCAAATTCCTCCTTTGATTATCCAAAATCCATGAAAACCATTGTTTCTCTCACTTTCTCTCTCCAAAATTTGAGAGTTTCTCTCTCTAAAAACCTAAAACTACTGAAAATATGAATTCTCCCCCTAAAATGAGCAAAAAATCTATTTATACCCCTTACTAAATTGCCTAGGAAGCTCCGCAAAAAGTCGAGCAGCGTGCAGAGGAGCGGGGGCTCCAATTTCGTGCACGGGCGCTCCTAGCTGCAGCAAAATATGGCAGAATCGTTCCAGAAAGTTTAGAGCGGGCGCTCCTCATAGGATGCGCGCCCGCTCCTATCGGACTGGGCAAACCGCTCAGCTTCAAATGAGCATATCTCCCACGTTTTACAACGGAATTGGGCATATGACCTGTCTTTGGAAAGCTCTCAAGATAAGCTTTCATCTCCAATTGGAATTGCCCCAAAATGTTTTGTAGATCAAAAGATATAGGCGTTTGAAGTTCGATCATTGAAAATCAAGTGCACATTTCTTCATTACTTGTTCTTTTATGTTTTATATTTCTTCAATCTTGAGCAATGAACTTATCCAAGTGTTCCTAAACATAAAAATAAACCAATAAAGTTTAATCTAATGCCATAAGCAACTAAAATATGCAAGAAAAGCCAAAATTGAGCAATAACGACATTTCACACGCAATCATGACAAATGTAATAAAATGTTATTAAAACCAAGTAAAAAGATATAAAAACTATGAAAAAATAACTAGAAAACTCTTAAAAATAGCGACATAAATGACACTTATCAGTGTTCCACTTTCCCTCAGTTTAGTCATGTATGCTGTAATATAAATTCTGTACTGGTATTTGCTTCTTGGTGCAAAACTTTTTGATACAAGTTTCGCTTAATGTAGCTTTGTTTTATTACAGGAAATGAACCAGTTAATGAGTTCCAAGTAGATATGAAGGTGTTTACTACTAAAAAAAAGAGATTTCCTGACATCATAAGTTTATCCGAGACTGTTATTTCATCCAATGATCTGAGAGGGATACTATATCTACTTGAATCAGAACCAAATAGCTTAGGTTCTTGTTCATCTCTTATCCTTTTTAAGTCATATATCTAAATTAATAATATACGCTATTATAATTTAATTAACTTGCTCTTCCTTGTATGTTTCATGTAATCAGTTTCAGTCTACGTATCAGTGAGACTTATGACAGTGTCTATAGGAAACCTACAGCCATGGGTACTCAGGCTTGAGCATGAGGTAAAATTATATGTAAATTTTAAATGAACTTAATTAGTTAATTACACAGGTGGTACAATCCAATAATAAAATTGTTTTACATGTTTTCTTGCCAGATTATGGGAGGTCATTACATTTTTTTCCACTTGCCAGAGTTACAAATGGTCAAGAAAGTTATAGAAATAGCACCTATGCTTCTGATCAGTTTTCTGACCGAGCCAATTGATATGGTGATGTTACGATTTCCTCTGCAAGAACTTGGTGAGTTGAGGTTCTTTAGCACGGCAACCATCCTGTCCATCGACTCTAATAGGATCTTATGGCACTGACTCTCATAAAAAAAGTTGGTGTTAATTTGAACCAGTTTTGTAATTCAGAAGCATGGTTAGCATGCATGGTTAAGTACATATTAAGTAGTATAAGTATTGTTAGCAAATTCAGCAACATAGTGTTCTGATATGAGATTTTAAGTGAGCTTCCTGAATCTGTGGAAATTACATGTAATTGCTTTATTGTTTACAAAACTACTTGTGTTCTATAGAAACATTGCTTAAACATCTCATAACAGTCTTTTTAAAAATATGCATGCTGCCATGAATAAATTCTGGATAATACTCTGATGCACAGATCAGTGACCACATTAATCTTTCACCTTGCATGCACTATTTTATAGCAATACTGATTTATATTACTTGAAGCAAAAATGAAATAAGCAATTGAATTTTCTAATCGTTTCATCATATAGCTGCTATAAGTTACATTGATAACAAATACAATCTCACTGTTTCTGTCACTCTAGAAATTTTGAGGATAAAATTAGAAATGGAAGTGACAGACTATGTTCATCCTGCTATACACAATTACATACACACTTACACACAAATTCTACTAAAAATAGTACAATACAATCTAGCTGTTTCCATCACTCCATCCATCCACATAGTAGGCATCAGTCAGTCATTCCACTTAAATAGGCCAAAAGATATGTTCTGAGTTTCAAAACAAACAGAAAAATTGAATACAGAATACTTCACTACCTATCATTTTTTATTCTACGTGCTTTCTGTACAACATAGAATTCTGATATCTATTTAGCCCAGTCCTAAGACTTACTTCAGACTCTTGTTGAAGTGAGCATCTCATAATTTTCAATCCAGAATAAAAACACGGGAAATTTTTACAATCTTCGACGAGTCCTTATAACATTTGATGTATTCAATGCTATTACAACAGAGTAAGCACAAACTCCAGCAAAACACAGTGAAGTGGTAACTGACCAAAGAGCTTTCCATTTCCTTCCTGAAACTAGTATGGCGAATCCAGTGGACAAAAGAGCGATGATAGAGAGGGCATTTTCCCATGCTTCAAATAATTTTCCAACACCGCTACACTCCTTGCAATGGATCACATGTCAGAAATACCTGTTACCCCAATTCGGAATATACATTGTCCCAAGCCCACCTTTAGCAGGAGACAGAGCTGAGAGCCCAGCAACTAGGCCTGCTGGGGCATGCTCAACAACTGCTGGAGCTTCAGGGTGACATAGAACTGTGCCCAGTAATGGTAAGGCATACCATGTCCGGCTTTATCCATCCTCCATCCACTTCTTGTATTCTGCAACCCAAGTGTCAGACGACTTCAAGTAGAATTTCTTTGTGGGGACTTTCTCAGTGATCAAAGCCTCATTTTGAGACGAAAGGAAGCTCATGTCTTGCTTCATATACCTTGCTAGCATTTTGGTGGAAATACCATGTGGGAAAAAATTTAGCAACTGGTGATCTTTTAGTGGTTCCAAACCTCACAATGAGCATAGATTTACCCTGTCCTGGTGGCCTGCAAAGGAACAACCCCGTGAATTAGTGTTTCTCTTCCTTCTCATCTACTAACTCTCGGCTATTTAAGAGCACACAAGGTGCCTCAGATCTCAGAAAATTGAGCAAAACTTCTCGCTTTCTTTTCCCCACCAGCCAGAAAATCCTTGTTCTGTTCTCTCAGTGACCTCAGCAAAGGTTGAGTATCTTCCCGTTTCGCAGTCCAATCAGTCTGATCATGGGAGATCAGGATGTGGGCTGGGTCCATTAGGTTCTCGAGGAGAGTAGAGTGGTCATATGGAAGCTCTTGTGTCGTTGAGACATCTTGAAACCCTGGCCTAGCAAAGTTTTCAAACCAAGTGATTTTCTTGGGGTTTAACAACACTATATGTTTTTTCCGCCTTTTTTTGTTTACCCGGGTGCACTATGAGCATGGTGCACCCGGGTGTATCATCTAATTTTCACCTCTTTGTGCAATGGGTATATTAATGCAATAATATATGCGTGTCTTGCTTGCCACTTTTAACGCATTATTTCATCCCTTCATTGCTAATTTTAGAAATTTATAGCTGCGGAGTACATATGGTTAATAAACTCATATTATTAGAATGTTTGTGGGAATTTGTCATATCAGATCTTAAATCAGAAATTGAATACAGTACGTATCAAATTTACAAGATATACTAGCTATAAATGTTAGATGATAGATGGTATAATACAAATGTTAGATTAGTAGATTATGAGGTGTTGTTATACAACGGTGTACTGTGATAAATTGATAATCCAAATCAAGCTAAGGAAATTATTATAATAAATTAATATTAAGTATAATAAGTAGGTACTAATTAATAAACATGCAACAAATAATGACTTGTATCACCAATCACCATGGCTTGGCCTGCTAGTTCGTAGACGGTTATACCTAATCCTTGAAGCTATGGAATCCCATGCACTCCACATGACTTGGATGAAAAGCGAGTGATGGCTTCTCTCCTCATTATACTCGGGCTCGGCATTTTTTAGCACAACCTTAATGCCTTGATTAACAGTATAGATGCCACCAGACGTGAGGGCAGCGATTGAGGCAGAACGAATACCACGAGGTGCCCACATGGTAGCACCACCAATGGCGAGTGAGATTGCTTTATCCGTCCAAACGGTCCTCTGACCACGGTATTCATAAAAGAGATAAGACGGAATGTCAATTGCCAAGAAAAGACTAGCAAAAAATCCTCCTGTGCGTAAAGTGTTAAAACGCATTGCATTGATTCCGCCACCAAATTTTGTTCTGATTGACGGTGCTCTATGGGCGAAACCCTTGAAGAAGTGGCAGAAACTCCCGCCCAAGGTGCCAACCATGAACCCTGAGCCGGCACTTTCAGCAAAGTATTCAAAGTTATATTCTCGTCTTTCTACATCAAACTCCAAATAGATGAAAGATCTATCCATAGGTTTTTAACCTGTCGAGGAGTAACATGAAAGGGTTGCTATAAAAATTTCAATTATCAAACAAATTTTAAGCTCATAATTTTCTTTTCTAGCAATATAATCGATGGTTTTGATATCTTTCATACGTAGTAATATTAGTAATTAGAATCAATAATTGAGATTCTCGAACCCTACCTACACTTAATAAATTAAATTAAATTAGATCACTAGATTGTCAAATTGATAAGATGATTACTAAAACAAACCAACGCTAACTTACCTCAGAATCAGCTTCGATAGGGAATACAAGTATCAGAAGGCCTCGATAGACAACGTCAAGTGCGATGTGAGTGCGCTTCAATGGTGAACTGAGAGAGAGAGCGGCAATATGACGAGGCACTTAGGCAGGGCTATGCATGTTCACCCCTTTTTTTTTCCTTAACAGAACAATTCAATGGGTTTATTTATAAACGAAAAATTTGCCTAAAACTATCTTTTAGGGTTTTTCTACACAATAACCCTCCTTATTTCACTTTTTTTACGTTGTGCCCCTCCACATTGTAACCCGCAGGTCAGTGGCGGATCCAGGTTTTAGGGAATGGGGTACAAAATTAAAAATTAAAAATAAAAATCACAAAAAATACTTTTTTTACAAAAATTTACAAAGTATAATAAGGGCCTGTTCTCTTCCGTTGAAATTCAGTTCAGTTCAGCTCTTAATTTATGACTAATGATATTGCTAATGATATAAAGCCAAATTTCATTCTTATAAGCTCTTATTACAACGATGACGACGACGACGACAACAACAACAACAACAACAACAACAACAATAATAACAATAATAATAATAATAATAATAATAATAATAATAATAATAATAATAATAATAATCAATAAGTAATCAATAATAATAATAATAATTGAAATAATAATAATAATAATCAATAAATAATAATAATAATAATAATAATAACAACAATAATAATAATACTAATAATAATAATCAATAAAAAACAATAATAATAATAACAATAATAATAATAATAATAATAATAATAATAATATTGATATTGATACAATTCATTGTTCAAATGGGTTAGATACATGTAAGTGTTTTGTGTTCTTTTTTCATAATACTATTTTATTTTAAAATTAAATAGTATATGTGTTTAAAATGTTTAGAGGTTTCAAGTTTTTAATATATTTTCCATAAATTTTATAATTATATAATATATTTTTCGTAAATATTTTAATATGTACATTTGTATATACACATATGTATAGTAATAAATAATCAATAAATAATCAAAGATCACTAATCCATAGTTAAAAATCACTAATTAATCAGTTCATCAGTTCAGATCAGTTGAGTTCAGTCGTCAATCGGAATAGCCCTAAGTAGGAACTTCGTACTAATTAATAAACATGCAACAAATAATGACTTGTATCACCAATCACCATGGATGAAATGATGAACGAGTGGATCGGGTGATAATTCTGGTGAAATAAATATATAAATACAACTTTGCACTTTCATAATTAAAATCAAGATTTGAAAAAAAAAATGATCAATTTATTTTAACTTTGTTACATCCTTCTAATACTTTTTCCTTTTTACTAAATCAAAAACAAATGTCAATTCCTGGTAAAAAAAAATGTCAGATCCTAACATTATAATAGACATTAAATTATTAAAAAAGATATATATTTTTATTTTTTTATATATAAATTTAATGGGTGGATGGATGGGTCGGATGATGGATCGGGTGATGGGTTGGATGAATCATCATCTGAATCCGACACGATCCGTCTCCCGACACATTCGATCATCATCCATCCGTCACCCGCTTAACTTCGGATTTTCATCCATATATTTGGATCGGGTGGATGGTTATCCATCGAATTTGGATGATATTGTCACCCTTTATGGTTGATTAGGTTGTTGTGGCAGACTATTGATAACAATACCTAAGAGACCGCCTATTATATTTAGGCGGTCTCTTTTTGTATCAGTTTTTTTTTTTTTTCACGGAATGGCTGGGGGTATAGCTGTACCAAGACTTCGAAAATGGGTTGTTCGGGTCAGGTATGGTCGGGTCAGTCAATTTCGGGTCGGTCAATTTCAGGTCAATCAATATTCGGGTCGGGTTCGGGTTGGGTCAATTCAGGTCAATGGTAATTCGGGTCGGGTCGGGTATCGGGTCAACCCTTCGGGTCGGGGCGAGTTCGGCTCGGGTCAATTCGAGTCGGGTTAGTCTTCGGGGACAATTAACGGGTCAAGTTCGGGTTGGGTCAAATTCAGGTCGGGTTGAGTGCGGGTCAGGTCAATTTTCGTCTATGTTAATGTAGAAATTTGACCAATAATATATTATAATTATTAATATGTATAAACTATAATAGTTGAATATTAATAATATATTCATTAGACAATTCCAACAGTACTATATACACAAGACGGTATTGTTTCATGTGTATGATCACTATCATTAATTGGTCAAAAATTCAAATTAGACAAAGTGAATAGTAGAAAAAAAATCAATTTAACACTTAAAAGAAGAAGCTAAGAGTAAAAGTAGTAATAATAACAATAACAAAAACTAGTGTTCCTAATCAAATTGACTCTTTATGAATTACGAGTAATAAAATACATACACAGTTCAATAGTATTATTATTATTATACACATAATACTATCCTATTTAATTTAGGTTATTTTTTATAAGTGTTTATTTAGGTAAAGTAACTAAGCCCTAAATCAGTTAGGTCATTTTTGAGTATTTATTAATTTTGGGTCAGGTCATTTTAGATATAGACCGGGTCGCTTTGAGTTTCGGGTATGTTCGGGACAATCAATTCGGGTCAAAATAGGGTCGGGTCACTTCAATTTCGTGTCACTACGGGTATCGGGTCAATTTCAGGTCGGGTCAGCTTTATGTTTATGTCAATTTCGAGTTTACGTATTCGAGTCAACTTTGGGTCACGGATCAGGTCATTTGGGTTGGGTGTGAATTGTCAGCTCTACGCATGTACCTTACTCTGTGTACGTACCCCCTAGATCTGCCACTGTCGTACTTACATTGTACATGTATTCATTAATCAAAAAGATCAGTTTTTTTCAACATTAGGAACCCTAATGATACATGTTATGTTATTATGTATATGTATCCTTGTAATTTATCATATCTAGATAATTTTTAAAGCAAAAGTAATCTATAGTACTAATCAATCATCATATAGCTAACATAAGTTGTGAGGGTTTATAAGGAAGCATCTCAATCCATGATTTGGACCCTAGGGTTGATAAATCTCAAGATTGTAGGAAATGCATATTAAGATCATATAATATGAACACTAGACAGTCATATAAATTCCCATGACAGCCTTGAGTTGATGGTGGAGGCGTATGCTGTAGAATAAAATTTTGATATTTAAAACTTAAAAGCAAAGTGGTCTAAATTTTTATAGTTAAAAGCAAAGTGTTCAAACCACCGAGATGGACTCTCAAAGCTGTCGTTGGGGTGTATCGGAGCAACTTCGGCATGTCGGGTCGCTATAACTAAAGATTATATTCTCGATTATGGACTAATTTTCATAAGGTTTCCAGAAATGTTATTTGGAATCATATATAACCACTATTTGGTCATATAAATTTGTGTGGTGACCTTGAGTTTTATGGAGGCATAAGCTGTAAAAATAAATTTGATATTTTAAATGCAAAGTGAAGAGTTATGACTATCAGGGAGTCTTGAGGTATATCGGAGCAACTACAACATGTATCTTTAATGGACCCGCAATAGGTAAAAGAAATTCAAAATTAAAAGCATCCACGATATTGAATTAATTTTGGAAGTTTTGAAACCTGGTGTAAATTTTTTTTCGAGATTATAAGGAATATATCATAGGATCATATATTGTTTTTTAGAACCGTATATGACCTCTAGTCAGTCATATAATGGGGTCTCAAAAACCGGTCTAGTTTCAGTTACATGGGTTAACCTTATTAGTTATTACAGCTTACATGCATGTCCACATAAGCCAGGCCCAATTACAGAATACAAAAACACTCGTAATGATTTCAAGAAAGTTAGTTATGTTTTTAACACAAAAGGGAAACTATATCAGATTAGGATGGTATTAGCAAAAGATAGATAATTAGAGAGCATGTGTAGCAACCCCTAATTATCTATAGTAGCCTTAAAGCTATCCGAAGGAACAAAAATAAGAGTTTGAAAGTACAAGCCAAAAGAAATACTAGCAATAAGAACTAAGTTAACTAACATCGGACAACACATGCTTATCAAAAGGTGCTGATGGAGAAGATTTTTTTTTTTTTTTGATGGAGAAGAGTTGAACACCAGATTAGGCTGCTGGTAGGTTGGGAATCTCTGATGCATAAGCTTTAAAGACAGTATAAGGAGGGTATTTATAAGGGACTCTTTCACCCACCTTAAACCTTGTCTTCCCATGATAGCTAAGATATCGGCCACAAAATTACAAGACCTGTTAGCATGGAAGACAAAAACAATCCAGTTTCTTTTGAGCAGAGAAGCAACATCCCTAATGAAATTTCCAAGGTCACTGTCTTCAAAGGATTTAGGATCCTAGAGCATTTTAGTCAGAGCTTCAGCATCAGTTTTCAACTCTAGCTGTTTAGTATCTTTACTCCAAGAAGTGATCAAACCCTCCCTAATGGCAAGAAGTTCAGCAGTAGCTGCAGACATAGCATTGAACCTTATTGCAAAACCAACAATCCATATTTCTTTATCCGACCTTATAACACCTCCTCCTCCTGCATTATCAAAGTTCATCCAAGAACCATCTATATTGAGCTTGTAAAAGCCTTGCTAAGGTGGAACCCAAATCCTAGCTGATGAGTTCACTGAAGAAGAGGAAGGTCTATCTATACTTCCCTAAGTTAAACTGTTAAAGCCAAAGTATAATTGTAATCCACAAAAAACTTGTTATATGAGGACTGAAGAAAATCCAATTTTTGTTCAAAAATTGCCACATTTCCGGTATTCCAAATGTGCTAAATAACCACAGCAAATAAACTTTTCCATTTTGAAGTATTAGTCAAGTTTAAATGTAACCAATATAATCAGAGAGATTAGTATTGTAAGACTTTTGAAGATCAATGTTAAGATGACTGAAAATTTTGAAAATCAAAGACCAAAAAGCACTAGAATTTGGGCAATGTCAAAAGATATGAATTGAGTCTTCCATTGGAGCTTTACATCTTATGCAAATTGGGTCAAAAAAATTCATTTTCCTCCTAAGAATAGCACCACGAGGTAAAATATCTCTAATTAAGTTCCAAAGGAGCAGTTTATACTTGTAGGAGACTTTAATTTTCCACATATTTTTCCAACAGACTCTAGAGAGGAAAGTAATTGTAGACACCCATTTGTGTCTCCCCAAAACCAAACCCAGTGATGAGTGCCTTTCACGTCGAATCATAATCGAATGAAACGAAAGTGTGGAAAGGTCTAGTGTTGCGGAAAGTTTTATTTCTTTTCTCTTCACTCTGTTTTTGAAAACTTTATTTTAAGAAAACAGCCAATCCAGTTTGGTTGGTCCATGATATGGGTCCAATAGTGGTGTAGTTGTATGGGGCTTGCAAAGACCTTTCCAACGATATATTATAAG